TGCTGGTGGGAACAGAGACTGGTGCACCCTATGGCAAACAGTATGGAGCTTCTGTTCGAGAAATTAAAAATAGCGCTACCATATGATCCAGCACTTCCAAGTCTGGGTGCAGATCCAAAGGGAAGGAAACCATATCTTTTTAAAAATTATGTTTATTGAGGTAACCTTGGTTCATAACACTGTGTTTTAGGGCATAGGTGTACACCTCTACAAATATTTCTCACAGCATGATCAAGACCAAATCCCCAATAACACTCCACTATAGCTCACTGACCCCCCTTCCTTGCTATGCTCCACCCTCCCTGCTGGTAGTATCAGCTGTGCAGTCAGATCAAGGGTTTATTTTGTTTCATTTTACATTTGTCTATGAAAACAGTATCTTGAGGCGATATCTATACTTCCATGTTCATTGCAATAACACGCAACCTAAATGTCGTCCATGAATGAGAGGATCAAAACAATATGTTGTGTACACACACACACACATGCACGCACACACACATACCACAGGAATACTATTTATCCTTCAAAAAGAAGGAAACTGTCATTTGCAACAATATGAATGAAAATTGAGAGTATTATGCTGACTGAAATAACAGCTGATAGAAGACAAATAGTGCATGCTATTACATGTTAAAACTTATAAAAAACATCAAATTCAAAGAAACAGAAGGGATGAGGGGCAGAAATAAATGTTTAAAAAATATGAGCTTTCAGTGAGTAAGATGAATAAAATTTAAAGATCTCATATATACAAGGTGAGTATAGTTGAAAATAATGTAGCTATAATTGAAATTTGCTGAGTGGAACTTAAATGTCACAAAATAAGAGGGGGAGAAGGTGATATGATGGATATGTTCACACTAATTCATTGGGGGAATCCTTTCATAATGGATGCATATGTCAATGATCATGTAGTACATGTTAAATATCATAAAATGTGTTATGAAATCAAAAGAAGCGCTGTCATCGTTAACCTCTGCATGGGTCCCTCACCCACATCTGTTTCAACCAGTCCAGGCCCAAGAAACAAGAGCAGCTTCATCACATGTCTCTCTGCTTCCTGTGCCTCCCTCAGGTAACCTTCCGGCTGGTTATCCTGCTTCCATCCTCCAGTCTCCTCTCCAGATTCTTCTTTTCCCTGCTCAGCTCCACCCTCCTTCTGGGTGGGGCAGGGAACTTGGAATTGCCCCTTTTCCTGGGGGCCCCCCTGTTATAGTTATGCATCAATAAAGCTGGGGGGCAAAAGGGGAGGAAGAGTACTGTGTCTTCTAAAAATCAATCCAGGAATTTGAAAAACTGATTTATCATCTCAATCATAATTTCTTTCCACAATTATGCAAATTATTTCAGAATTCCCATGGGATATTTGAACTTATAAGCCAAGATAAACTTACAAAATATTTACATTACTGATTAACATTTAAGTTCCCTAGAGTTTCAAAATTAATTCAAGAAACACTGGATGGAAAGAGAAAAGAGCCAAGTGGAATATTACAGTTAAATTCATGTTTAGCTTTTTATTTCTTTTGAATCTGGTAAAAATCTTAACTGTGAGATATTTATTGTAACTAAAGAGAGCAAAGTTTCTTAAGAAGTATTACATGCTGGGTCCTCCCTGGTGGCACAAGGGGTAAAAGCACAGCACAATGAAGCTATCTGCAGCCACTATAACATGTGTTTGATTCTCAGCCAGGGAGGTGACCCACATGGCCCAGCTGACCTCTTCTGTCTCACCCGCTGCTCCCCTCAGCAGTGTATTTCAGTCAATTTGTCTGTTCTGTTCCCACTCTGTCTCTGGTGAATCCTCTCACCCTCTACTCTGGCCTATACCCCAGTTCTTATATACAGAAGTAAATAAATCTTAAAAAAAAAAAAAAAGTATCACATGCTATAGTATAGATAGCACTTGGGTGATAACAAATTTCCTAATTATCTCCAAAAATTTTAGAAAAATGGAGTCTATTAAATGGGATGTTTCATTGTTTTTAAACACACAAATAGTCATTTTCATCAAAGAATATCAATATTCTTTTTAGAACAATCAAGGTGGTTTTGGTAAGCAAAACCTCTTTGATCAGCAATTCAAGAATACGTATAACAATGCAAGTTCAATGCAAAGAAACACTAATTTTTTTGTTTTCCTTAATTAGTAAGAACAGTTTATATTAGCCATTCTATTAATAAGTGTCAGACATGTGATAGGTCTTGGCCATTATAAATCACTTTTAATATGACTGACACAACTGAATAGACCCAGTTAAATAATGACATAGGTGGAGAGTTATAGAAATAGTATTAAAATATTCAAGCTTAATATGTTATACATTTTTCTATTAACAAAAACTGACAGAACATGATTTTCTAAAAGCATACTACATAACTAATTGGATCCTCTCTCCCCTCCCTCCTTGTCTCACTTCTCCCTCAACATACTCAAATCTACATGTGGAATTTTCAAAATACTTTTTCAACCATCAAACATTTAACCATCAAAAAAAATCAAGGATTTTCATGAACATTTCTCGCCACTGAATCTATTAAGCAATTATGCATCATGTCACTAAGTAAAAGTAGCCTGAATTTCTGCATTAATATTACTCATTTATTATTCTGATTTTTTATTCATTCTAATTTTTTGCAGTGCACAAATCTTTTCATCCTTGGGGCGCTAAGCTTATTTACAGAATAAACCACACTGCAGCTCTAGATATCTATTTGGCTCAGCTAAAATGGTATGTCAAAATGGACACAACTGCTCCCAGTTTAGATTTTAAGTTTATTTGTAGCTTTTGATGTTAAAATTAAAAAAAAAATTTATGCATGCAGAACTGGGATACAAGCCAGTGGTACAGGGGTGGTGAGAGGATTCACCAGAGACAGAGTGGGGAGCAGAACAGGCAGATCGTTGAAGTACACTGCTGAGGGGAGCAGCGGGCCGGTCAGGAGAGGTCTGCCGCGCCATTTGGGTCACCTCTGGGGCTGGGGATTGAACTCACACTGAAGTGGCTGCGGCTAGCTTGCAGGGCTGCTTCCTTACCAGTTGCACCACCAGGGAGGGTCCTTGATGTTAAAGTTTAACATAAAAGCATCTTATCCCATAATGAGATTTATTTATTTAATTAAAATTATTTAATTAAAAAATAAAATCAACAATGAAATTAGCTTACTCTATGTCTGAAGAGCAACTGGGACAGATTCCACAGAGACAGGGTTTTAAACTTTCACAGAAAAATGCTCCCTTTCTCATTTAGTGATCAAATCACCCAACATGTTAGGTAAAAGCGAAATAAGTGCAGTTAGTCTGTTTAGTGTTAGTAGCATAGTGACATCAATGAGAAGACTTCCTGGGGAGCTTAACCTAAGAGGGCAGAGAGGACATGCCCGCCATCTGTCCAGGAGTGTGTGTGCATTTATATGTAAAGACACAGAGAGAGACGATCCTGTATCATAGATACTTTGAGAAGTGCTGCCCCAGAGCATCCAAAACAAAGTTCTGTATGGATGATGTGCCTGGTAAGTCTGCATAGATACTGATGTAGCTGCAGTCATCTCTTAAATTATTAGAATATTAAGATTTTTCAGAAGCAGGTAATTTTACCCATGTGCAATACACTAAGCTCCTCTGATTAACATTTGAATTAATCTAGAGCTATTTCAATTGCAAGCCGATGAGATACCAAATAATCAAAACTGTTCATAGGAATTGAGATATTAATTAACATGATTCCATAGGGAAAGAAGCATCCTGTGGTCACACAATATTCGGGACACAAACTTCACCCCACAGCACCCTCCTGGGGTGCAAGGTACCCATTAGCATATCAGGATCCTTAGAAGGCCTGGAGTTGAGAAAAGCATTTAACTGCATAGACATGCTCTTTATCCAAACACATTCACACCTTTCTCAGGAAACACAATTTTGCAAATCTGGGTATAGGCAAGACTCCAGATGAGCAATCAAAAACCTACTAGCTGTTTCTTGCCTTCATTTGTAAATGAGCCTCACTAGCCAAACTGCTGAGCTGCAGGGTGGATGAGATAAAGGCGGAGAAGCACTCCTACAGCAGGTAAGCCCCTGGAGCGGAAGGACCTGGCACTCTCTTTGCTCTCAGCCCTCCTGAGGCCACACCTGCTCTGTGTCAGCACAGTAAGCTGCTCTCTGTTCCAGGCTGCCTCCTTCTCCTTCACAGAGCCGGGACGCCTAATGTTGTGGGCCATTTTGGGCATCACTCCCTTTGGCATTCTCTGGCTGGCCCCCAGGCCTCTGGCTGGGGTGGCTCAGCCTTGGAGATGCAGGTAAGCCCCAAATAAAGGCAGGAGGAAGCTCTGTACTTGGCACAAGTTCTAGTTGGTGAGCGCCTACCCTTGGCTTCAATCTCCATGCAGATGGTTTCTCTAACATGTTGCAGGGTGAAGACCACAGTGAGAAGGGACTGAGTGTGTTGGGTTCCTGAGTCCACAGTCATCTCTCCACCCGAAACCACATGCTCCCACATGGTGCCCAAGTACCCAGTATGGACTTATTGAGCGAATATCACTTTCATCTTCCTGGGGAAACAATCTAACCACAAATATCACAACCCCGAAGAGAAGGCATTGTGTGATGAAATCATGTGAGGGATTGATAGCATCTCTTCTCACCCAAATCCAGCTCCTATTCAACCTCTGGGTTCGCATTTCAACAATCAATAATACTACACTTTCCCTCAAACAACTGTTTTTTGAACTTCAAGAGCTCCTGTTTACTTCAAAGGCAGCACCCAGAATTTGAGCCATGTCTACAAAGTCATGTGGTCAGTGAAATGTAGGTCATGGAATTGGCTTTCTTATATGTTCTTCCAACCACCAAACCACAGGGTCTTTGTTAAGGTCAAAATTATCATGAGACATTATTTACATAGCACACAATGAGCTCTGTTCTGCAGCTGTTACAAGCACAAGCCACAACTTAAAATAATAAAAAAATAAAGAGATAAAGAGCTATTTTTTTTACTCACTGTTCACGTAAACATTAAATGTCACGGAAGAATTGACATCGGAATTGGACGCTAGAAATGTGTAAGTGCCTCCTTCGTTACCCTTTAATCTAGTTAGGTGAAGTTCACTGACATATCTACAAAAAAAAAAGGACCAAAAAATAAATAAATAAATTACCCACAGACAGTCTGCTTCAGAGTAGAGTCCCGTTCACAGCTTCTATATCTGGAAATACCCACCTGTTTGGGGAAAAAGATGAGTCAATTTAGTATTAATGAGAGCCACATTACCGAGCACACACATATTTAATTGGGGACAAATGTCTATTGTGTGAGAATGTGAGAGGAGAATGCCTTCTTTTTTTCTTTCTCTTTTTTTAAAGATTGATTTATTTATGCACACAGAACTGAGGTACAGTCCAGAGGGCTAGGGTATGGTAAGAGGATTCACCAGAGACAGAGTAGGGAGCAGAACAGGCAGACTGATGGAGTACACTGCTGAGGGGAGCAGCGGGCGAGAGGTCTGCTGTGCCATGTGGGTTATCTCCAGGGCCAGGGATCGAACTCACATGGAAACAGCTGTGCTCAAACCCGTTGCGCCACCAGGGAGGGCCCGGAGAATGCTTTTCAAGCACAAAGGCAACCTCTTGGCCAGGGCGGCTCCATCTCCTCTGCCCATAGTCCTCTGCTCATGTTCCCACTCTCTAAGCCCGGAATCACCTTCCCTGCTTTGCTTTAATGTAACTGGCTGGCAAGGCCGAGACTGGCAGGCTATCTCCATGCAGACACTTGAGGGCCCTGGCAACAAGGTCGATATTGTTGCCCTTGCTTCCTTCTCACCACACCAATCTCTGGCTTTCCTCCTGCCCCTGAAACTTCCCCCTCATGTCCTCTGCAGTTCAGTGCTAGGTCCTCCCTGAATGTCATCCAAGAGGTTCTTCAAAACTGGCTTTTAGTGAAATGATTGATCATGAAACGGATTTCACCAAAGGCTAACTGATAGAAATAAGAGTCTAGTACCTACGGCAAATTTTGGGGCCTAAAAATATCACCAGGCTTCTAAATAGAAACCCCAAACATGTCTAAAATTAAGCAAGTTCATGTTCATTCACTCATTTCCCAGGCTGCTTTTTCCATTTTAAGGTCACAGGTGGTCAGACTATCCTAGCAGCGCAGGGCACAAGCCAGGACCCAGCCCCGGACACAACACCCCACTCTGGTCGGCATGTTCCACCATCAAGGGAGTTACTAACATGGGCTCCGGTGTGGGCGGAGTCCCTGGGTAGCTCTTGGCCCACAGAACTAGCCACAAGCGCAGCAGCTGAGCCACTCCCTGGGCAACCTGCTGTCATGATGACTACTTGCTGTTTGCCTGCTACTTTCAAATTATCAACTCTAGCCCAGACTTCTTGGCCTCAGCTCCTAAAACAAGAACTATGTCATGCCCACCCATCCCCCACACCTCTTGGGTGCAGCTAGAATGACTCACACCTGCAACCTATTCCCAAGTCTTGCCCTTGAGTGTTTAGACCACTAGGGAAGTTGACTGCACTGCCTGGTCTGAGGTCAGTGAGGGGCTGGCCGCAGAGAGGGCCCAGAGCTCCAGGCATCCCAGGACCACCTGGGCTCAGCCTCTCCTTACCTATGTCCTCCCTTTTCTTTCTCTTCCTCATCTAATGCTCTCTCTGCAGCTCTCTTCACCCTTAAAGAAGCCCTTGCCTCAGAACACTTCTATGGACCCCAACATAGGAGGCCTCCCACCTCAACATCTCCACTGAAGATCCCCTAGTCAACCTCAAATTCTACAAACCCCAAGTTGAACACAGTCCCTTGGGGCCTGACTCCTAAGGGGCATCTTCAGAGCTTCTCTCTCCCCTACCCTCTATCACCTGGACACCCTCCAAATCTACCCTGAACCCTTAGACCTGAGCCATGGAGCCCACCATCTCCCACCACACTCTTATAACCACTAATAGCTTCTGAATGGAGAAATATACAAACTGTATATAGGTGCCTGTTCTTATTAGCTATCTGATCTTGGTAAAACTATATATTCCATATGTGTCTGTTTCCTTTTCTACAGATATATGAGAGAAATAAGATTATCTACTCAAATAATTTTGTGAGAACTAAAATTATTTAGTTGACATGTTTCAGGTACTTTTTGCAGGGCAGAAAAAGCTGCATGCACTTACATAAAGGGTTACTATTGTGACTGTTTTACCACAAAAGTACTGAGGATCAGATGAGAGAGCTGACGTGAAAGAAGATGGGTTCACTGCTTGGCCCAAAGCTACTTAATGATTCTTAGTCTTGTAGTTTTTTAAAAAATGATTAAAGGTGCCTTCCTCTTTCTCCAAAAAATTCTTTAATGTGTCCCAGTAGGGCCTCCCTGGCACAGGGGGTTGGAGCGCTGCACTGCGAAGCTAAGCCAAGACATGGCCCCTTTAGTGCGATCCCAGCCCAGAAAGGATCCACATTGCACAGCAGACCTCTCCCGCTGCTCCCTGCAGCAGTGTGCTTCGTCGATCTGCCTGTTCTGCTCCCCACTCTGTCTCGGGTGAATCCTCTCACCTCCCCTGCACCTCTGGCCTGTACCCCAGTTCTGTGTGCATAAATAAATAAAATCTTTTAAAAAACTGTACCAAGTATATTCAAGTCACTGCTCTGAACTGTCCTCAGATCCTGGCAAACCAACCTCTACTTGACAAATGAGACAACTCAGGCACACACTGTTTTGTGGGCTCTAGATAGAACAATATGAAACACTGGAAGAAGACTAACCCCAAGCATCCTTGAAAAGCAGTGTTCTCTCACATTTATTTAAGGGACACAGAAATGAAGATGTGGACATCCAAGTGGAAGGAGGGGAAATAAGCACTCCTGAGTGAAGACTGCTTTCTTACCTGATATTACTCTGGTTGTCAGACTTGGGGTAATCTTCCCATTTATCAGTGGAGGTTCTGTTCATATAGATCCACTGCTGACGTTCAGGTTTGGGGTATGCATCATACTCAACAATCAGATCCACATTTTCTCCATCATTTACAAATATTGTAGTATTCATCATAGGGAAGATATTAATGAATCCTTTATCTAATCGTAACAAACAGAAAGGATCCATTAGCCACACGACCAGACAAAAAGCAGGACTCATGTTTGGGTTACACAGATAATTGGCTGCTCCCCAATATTAACTGGCAGTGATAAGCTGAAAGAATTTTAACTAGCCATTTTACATCCTATTTTCTTCTTTCAGAATCAGTCATAAAATAAGAGCACCAATAATTGAAATGCTTATTCTCCCATCAAAAGTAGTGACCAAACAGTCTATACCCAGATCTAATATAATTGTGTGAATGTGATAAAAAGATGTCATAAATCAAGAAGGGTAGGGGATCTATTGCAAAATAAAAAAATGTCGGGGCCTCCCTAGTGGTCTAGGGGTTAAGTCTCAGCACTCCTACTGCCAAGGCCCATTGTGATGGCCTGAGTTGGCTCCCCAGCCAGGCAGCTGACCCACAAGGGACAGCAGACCTCTCTCACCTTGCTCCCCTCAGCAGTGTATTTCAATAGATCTGCCTGTCCTGCTCCCCACTGTGTCTGCAGTAAATCCTCTCAACTACCCCACCCACACACTTCTAGCTTGTACTCCAGTTCTTTTACTCAAAAATAAGTATTTTTTAAAATGTTGAAATGTCACGAAATATTTGAAGAAAAACTTAGTTCTTCTCATATCATGTATCACAGATGAATCAAAGATAGTTTTTTAATAATCAAACTATATTTTTAAGTAGCACATTGACTCCTATCGAACTTCTAAGAGGGAGTAGGCAGTGTTCTGGGCTTTTAGAAGTAATAGAAGCATCATAAAAGATAAATCTGAATACATAAATATTTTTAAGTGACTATGCAACAACATTAGTTAAAAGGCAAAATAGGAGATGAAAATACAGGAAAAAATACTTTAAATCAAAATAAAGCATCATTTCACTTACAAACACTAGCCAAACTTCAGTAAGACTTAAAAAGTAAAGTATACCCATCTTATAGAAAAGTAATAATCAGACCAATTTGTAGTAGATGCAACAATTTTGCAAGCATGGTAAAGAGCCCATTGAATGCCATACTATAAGGTGCTACACTTTCAGGAATAGAGATTTTCTTAAATGATCTGTTCTTCTATTTAACCCTGTAATTTCCACTTGAGAACTTTTCTTGGTGAGGTAGATAGGTTCAAATGAAGTGCTTTTTTTTAATGAGAGTATGTTAATTTGAAATAATGAGAAATCAGAAATGTTTACATAAACAAAGCATCCTTAAGAAATAGCTATAACAGTACAAGAAAGAACATCATAAAATAATTGCCAAAATTATTCTTAATAGCTATTTATGCAGTGCTTACTATGTGCCAAGGATTGTTCCAAGTATTTTAGCTTATTTAATAATTATGAGAAGTAATTAATCTTATAACAATACTAAAAAGTAAAACTCCTAATTTATGGATGAACCAAATCAAGTCCTGGAAAGTCATATTAGCCAACTGCCCAATGGCAGGTCTTTGAGAAGTCAAATCTGGTCTTTTCTTACGATAGCTGACCCTAAAGAATGTATTTTCAGAGAGAAAAAGAGACTTCCAGCAAGCCGTAATAACACTGGATAATGAAAATCCTATTGTATACAAAATATAAACAATATTCCAGTCTTAAAAATTGTTGTAGCAAGTTAGTGGGATGGTGGAAGAATTGTAATTTTATTCCTTCACTTATTTCTCAAGATTCAAAATTTTTTAATTTAAAATCAGCATACATTTTGGGGACACTAAATGGCTAAATGCATTAAAGTCCCATTGAGATTGTCAATGACCATATTTACTACCCCTTAGTTTCCTATAGATTCAGAATAAATCTGGACTCCAACTGGCCTATGTACCAATTGAAAAAGGATTTTTTTCAGGTGAGAATGAAAATCATTCAACTGGAAAATGGAAGTGGAAACTACTTCACAGTAATAACTAAGTTATAAATGATTCCCTTTGCCATTCTTTGCATAATTTAGGTTAACTCTAAGAAATAAATGTTTCATCTGAATGCTACATAAAATTTTAAGTGTTCAAGGTCATAAATTTAAAGATACCACACAATGCAAAATATTAAGCTCCTACAGACAACATTTGTACCGTATTATTTCTTTCAAGTTACCATGAGTAAAATAATCATCTAAATTCCTCCTGAGTTTTCTATAATCCATATATTTTGCTCATTTGATTTTGATGTCTTCTAATTCATGAAGTCTAAGAATTCTTAGTATCAAAGATCTCCATCCACATAGCTATAACATTAATGTACATTTACATCCCAAAACCGGTGACATGTTAACTTTGAATCAAGTACAAACACTGCACAAGGCACTTCTATCAAATCTGTTGCCTTTCCTTTCCCACACTTTGGGAGTTACAGTTCAGGTCAGACGCATTTGAAAGTTAAGTGGCAGAACCCCAACTCAAAACCAGGCTAAGCCTTCCCTAAGCCAACTTCACCAATCCAATTACACACAAATCCTTTGTTCCTTCCTGTTCTTGTCCCATTGCATCTCTTGAAACAACACAAAACCAGATTCAGGTTTCACCACCTCATGTCTTTCCAGTTACAGAGTTATATTCTTGGAAATTGATGAATGCATTTTAAAAATCTGATTACATACAACAATATGCTCAAAACATCCTTACTAATTGCTTTCTGGAGCTGAAGCTGATATATCAACATGCTCCCTAATCAACTTAGCAAATTAGCACTTATGGAGTTTAATATTTTAAAAGCATAGTCTTCTATTCAAATTAATAAATGGTTCACAATCATGTTTGGGGATAGAGTAGTACTCTTTCTCTGGGCTGACTCTATAATTGTAAGTAAAGTATCTTTTCCATGTTCAATCTGGCGAGATACTTTCCATTATAAGATGGGCAGAAACACTAAAATTATATGGAACTTTTGTGGGATAAATCAGACCTCTAACGTTGCCATATGAATTACTGAATAAATATATGAGGGGGAGAAAAGAGAGACGAAAATTAAACATTGCATTGTTTTATCATTGTTCATGATGAAAAATTTTACCACTCTGCAAGTACTTAATCAATGTCAAGCACAAAGTACATGGTTACATTAAGAAGACAAGAAAACAGACTAACTTCAAACAATACCAAACAGATAGTATGTAAATGAAGTGCTTTAAAAAGATTATTTTCAGTAAATCAAAGCCAGCTAGTACTTCACTATACTCTACTCTCTTTAACTAGATATTTGGAAAATAAACATGTGGTGGGATTTTTGGGGGAGGGCAGAAAGGCTAAGCCAATTGTGTATACTAGATGGGACACAGACTCCCACGTTCCAGTTCACGCTCCGAGGACCTCTCCCTGGAAGTCTATGCTCTGACCGTTAAAGTTGAAGGTAGGGTGAAGTGGGGCCAGGGAGAGGGGGCAGAGAAATCCAATTCTGCCTTTCTTGCTACAAATGACCTAGACCCATGAATTGGTAAAACAATAAACCAAAAGGCTGAGGTGTTCCACCAAGTGATTCAGAGAAATACTTTATTCTCTAAGCATTTGCATTTTACCAAAGAGAAAAGTCAAAGGCCACTTTCAAATTCAAGGCATTCAGCAAGGACTAGAATTTTTGAAAAAGCTCAATTTACATTTTATTTGTTTGATGAGTAGGAGAGGGAAGGTAGAAGGAGGAATGATAGGCTTGAACAACGTTAGTTACAGCTTTCCACTTACTTCTAGTAAATCGGTAGAATTTTGTGCTCTAGTTGGAAGAGGCTACAAGGATAATTTTTTTCCACCCATTCATTCATTTTAGTGATAATAAAATTTCTAAGAATCTGTTCAACATTCCATTTCCATAAAAAGGAAACTACCTAGTAATTTCTTCTTTCACTACTGCCAGTAATTTATACTTTCTAATAGAGATATTTACCTACTACTTCCAAGGTTGTTGTGACATTTGCTGATCCAAAAGTATTATTGGCATAACACATGAACACTCCAGAATCGTTAACTCTTGCTGAGCTGATAGTCAACCTTTCTTGGCGCAGATAGTCAAAGTCACCCTGATGCCTGCTATTACTTAGTACCTGTATTTTAGTCTGTTGGTTTCAGAAAGGGAGAGAAAAAAAAAAAAATCAAAGATTACCATAAAATTTATATTCAGGCTCTTTCCTAGATAAATTAAAAATAGCAGCAATTAACTTCTTTATATTTGCATTCATTATACACTACTTAAGTAAGAATAATAAAACATCATGACAAGTCTGTCACTGGAGCACTTCATATTACAGGATTATATTGAAAGATAGTCATTATTAATGATTGGAGAAAAAACATGAAAATTCATTTCTTAATAACCATAGCATACATAATTCTAAGCTCTTTGCAGTGCTACACTCTTTTAATCAAGCTAAACTTCCGGTTATTATCGAAGAAAAATATAGAATATTGACATTTTATGAGTCAGCATACTTAGGTTATATCGATAGCTCTTGTTACATAATTTTTATTCTGTATTCAATTTGTGATTGGAAAAAAACACAAACATGTTCTATTTTATTAATATTATTTCAATGAATAAATGTATAATCACACTGTCTATAACTTAGAAATTCATACAAATTTTGGCTACTACTGAAGAGAATCCAGAAAATATGAGACATGTAAGAAGGTAAGCCTGAGTAAGCATGAGTGAAAGAAAAAAGGTTGTGAGTTTATCCTGGTGAAATCACCATCCCACTCTATCATGTCTGCAGATAAGACAGGGAGAGATTTCTAGTATGGAAAACATCATGAGGAAAAAAATGACAGAAACTACAGTTGTTTTCAGAAAAAAATTACAGGGAGTAGCAAAGAGATTTCTGTATCTTCCAAATTTTTCCATAAGTGAAATATGGATTTATATTCCTATTACAAAACAACAACAACAGTAAAAGAAAGTAAATAGGAGCTGATACTGACATGAAGTGAAATCAAGACTTGGTTTGACAGCCAGGCCATGGTAAACCTATTAGCTTAGATTATTCTGACAATGTTGCAAATCAGAACAATTCTTCTGGAAAGTAATGAACTTGGCAGTATGTTCATTCCCTCTGATCAACCAGCAAATTTATCTCAAGGAATTAAAAAAAAAAAAGTTCCCAGATTATTTATTGCAGTGAAAACTCAGAATGCCAGATTAATTCAAAATTATGAATGTGAAATTTCAAAAGTGTATTAGTTAAAAAACATGAACTGAGTGTACTTTAAGGCTAAGCAGATATGGTAATGTATATACATGGGACAGAGAGGAAACAAATATGAAAAAGAAGGGCAGGCTACAGAGCAATTATATGGACATGCGACTCGTAAATATTTAAAATAGTGGTCCAAATAAGTTTTTTGTAAATATAAAATATGCCTCAGATTTTGGAAATTTAAATATAAACAAAAATGCAAAGTTACATTAATTTTGTGCTAATTATAAGAAAAAGTAATATTTGGTTATATTGGGTAAAATAGAAGTATGAAACTCAAATATACTCTTTTATTCTTTGTAATATTCCCCCTCCAAAATTTAAGTTACATAGCAGGTTCACATATGTCTATTGCACTAATGCAATAAGCAACTGTGGAATTATAACTTTTTGTTATGTTATTAGATTTTTGAAATGTTTTTATATTAAAGCAAGCATGTACAAAAGCTGACTGCCAGAATTGAGTATTTTATTTGAACATTTGTATTTTATAAAATATAAAAGAGAAAAGCAGATTATTCAACTGTGAAAAGTCAAGGTTTCCAATAATATCAGCTATTGTTTCTAAGAGAGGATAAAGAAACAAAACCTTTAAAGGATTTTCTGGTTATAGGTTAGAAGTTAAGCGATTCTTCTAATAATAGGTAGAAATCTGCTGTTTCACTGTGGAAGATCATTATTACAAAGATGACACAGCAAAAAGTGACATTTTCTCTGGCCTCACTCAGTCCATCCTGTCCCAGACTTCTCCTCTACAAGGCAGAGTAACAAGATACAGATAACACATTATATTCTAGACTTATATTATCTGTTATCTTCTAGTTGTTACAAGAACTTTAGAGGCTAAACATGTCAGCACCAGAGAGAAAAGTGTGGGTTCCAGTGATGCAATATTAACACCCAAACCCAAAGACCATAATTTAAGATACCATCAAAGAGCATAATTAAAAGCATTAGAAAAACAAGCCAAGATTTCCAAGTGTTGACTAAACTCCAAGACTCTCATGTTTCAAAACAATTTTTAAAAACTCTAAAATTTACCTTAAATTTCATTGTGAGTTAAACTATTATAAGTGGTTGGAATCAAACACTATGGATTTTTGAAATGATTTGATGGTGCTAACAGTGCTAAGTAGTTCACATTAAGCCAAAGGATATGAGCAAAAGATTCATAGATGAACCTTGGCATGGAGCCATGAGCCCCATCTGCAAGTCACACATTACATATTGCTTGCACCTGATTTGGTTTTCCTTAACCCTTGGAGGTACACACGGGATTTCCCCAAAGAGTTCCCAACACTGAGGGTTTATCTACCAGTGCCAGTGGATTAATTGGGAATGGCATGCAGGGCTCCTGGGAAAAATGGTTCAGAACAAAACTGCCTAAGGCAATTTAATTCCTCATCTCAAAAAGGCTAATTTTTGAGTTATACAGATGTTCAAATACACAGCTGAAACTGTTCTTTCCTCTAAAATCAAGGTTTATAGAAAGCCAACTGATAAGGCCTGAGTTCTGAAAAGTGAGTCAGAAAACAACATATATACTATTGTTATTATAAGGTGATATGAAAATTAAAACTTTTGGTTTTCATTGGCTTAAAAGAACAAGTCTATAATATAGTCCATTCTCCTAGTCAATGGCAGGCTTCATTTAGCAAGGTATCATCCATCACAGGCCTACATGAATACCATGATAATGCTTTGTATTATGCTAATCACCATGGTTACTTGCTTTACAAAGAATTTTTTAAATGGGCATGAAATTGCCAATGTTGAATATGGGGCATGAAGAGGAAGATGAGGAGGGGAAAAATATAGAATTTCTTTGTTCCAGTATAATGCGTACATATGTACTGAGGTCAAGTAATTGTGATAACTAATTAAATCGGATGGCCAAGATTATTCAAACAATAATTACTGAAAACTTAGTCAATGGAAATTTCAAAGCAAATATTAGGGAAAATAGACATTTTAAAGATCTTGTAATTAATGACTACATTTAGAGAAAAAAAACTTCAACTGTAACTGTTTAAAATTTATTTAACTTTAGGCTATGTCTAACATGATATATCTCATACAACAGATATTCAATATGCATTTGTTAAATGAATAAGAACCTAAACATGTCTAAATGTTTCAGATTAAAGATAACTATTTTATTAATAGTGACTAAAACAAATAGAAAACCATTAGCAACTTGATCTCAGGAAACCAGCCTCCAAGGAGGAAATCAGATCCATACAAAGAGAACCCCATCTCTCAAATGCACAGGCCACTTTGTGGGGAAGGGAAGAACTTTCTGGTTAATATCTAAGACCATTATTCTTTATAAATATGGAAGGGGAAAAAATCATCAACTTTTCTCAATATTTTAAACATTCAAGCTTGAAATAGGATGAATAATAGCTTTAAAAATTAGTTATTTATGCAATTTACCATTATTTTTTCTTTTAATTTCCCTACTGGAATCTTTTTTATTATTATTTTAAGTTTATTTTTACATCATTTTGTGCCTTTTTCCATCTCAGTTGTCATCCCCATAGGCTCCCCATCACCAAATCACCTGTGTGCCATCACCATAGTCCAGTGCATTTCCCTCTCCCCACCATTTTTGATCCCATTCCCTACTCCACCCCATAAAATGTCTCTGGTATATAGCTGTTCATTATTATGTACTCCCCCACCAACCCCACCCCTCCCAGTCCTTTATGTTCCTGCTATGAGTGAAACCATCTGGTATTTTTCTTTTTCTTTCTGGCTTATTTCACTAAGCATGATCCCTTCCAGCTCCATCCATGTTGCTGCAAAAGGCATGAGTTTATCTTTTCTTTTTTGATCGCTGAGTAAAATTCCATTGCATATATGTACCACATCTTTTTAATCCCCCTACTGAAATCTTTTAAAGAAAACAAAGGAGTAGTATAGTCACATGTAATCTCAATTTTCTCAAAGTAACTTGGCAAAATGACAGTTCTCTGTTACTAATGATGAATGTATAAAACTACACCGGGTTTATAAATTGGGGAAATGAATGTCAGCACTCCCGATCCGACATACCAGCTGAGCCATTCCTAAAACTCTTAACAGATTTTTTTAAAGAAAAAACTTAAAATGTCTCAACATAGAGATAGCAGTATGTTGGGGAAAATAAAGGCAATAATTCACTCACCTGACTGTTTTCCTTTATCCACATTGAGTCCACAGAACTAGACACATCTTTAATCAAGCACATCACCGTAAATTCTTCCCCTTCCCTAAGAATCTGGCTTGCTTTGGACACAGACACAACTGGTACAGCTCTGATGGCTGGGGAAAAAGACACGCAGCCTTCAAGTAATTCATTCTGTTATAGCATGAAATTTTAACTTAACCATTTTCCTCAAATGTGCAGTTGATTTTATCATCTTCTAAGTAAATCATAAAGTAGATTATTAACCAATCTGTAATACTTGCATAGCGGAAGATACCAGAAATTAAGTCATGCAGCCATCAAGTAAATTCATTAATACTGAGTGGGAAAGACAGAAGCATTTACTTAGCAATTATAATGCTTCTGGACAATGCTATTTTTCTAAAATTAATTTCAGGCTGTAATTTTTTTGTTACCTTTTTAATCAAGTAGCACTGTTTCACATTGCTGTTAATTGTTAGGTTGGCCAAATAGGCTTCTCCCCTTATGTGTGGTTACTGTAGCTCTCCCACCACCAAAACCCCATAGTCCTCCACCAGACCCCTTTGGGGCACTCCCTGGGCCCCTTTGGACAATGCTGCTTTGAAACAGGCAGAGTAAAGTGGCTTCACCTTATACAAACCGCAAGGTCTCCTAAAGACATAACCCACAGCTAGTTATATCCTCTAACCAAACGGGCATCTCTCCTATGATACATAAAACTACTCTAAGATGTAAAATCTAGGTGTCTTCCAGAAGGCTTGGCATTAGCCCCTAATCACAAAGTTCAGTGGGTACTTTCCAACAATTCAGTGAGTACTTTCCTCCTCAGATGGGAAAAAATCTGAGAAAGTATGAAAATTAAATAGCTGAGTAGCAAGTCAATTCACCTATCAGTAATAAATCGAGGGTTGAATAATTTGTATACTGATCCTTCCAAGGAAACCCTTTGGGAAGTAACTCAAATTGTCTTTAGTGTCTCTTGGAAGACATTTGTGCCAAGGCGCTTTGCGGCTTCCTGAAGTCAGCGGCTTCACGATTCTTCCCCTTCCAGTCTGGACGTGAGTCTTTGACAGACACCCTCAATGGGCAGCCACCCGGGGCTGGAGCCCTGGGGTTGAGGGCTGTGAAATCAAATGCCCACAAGTGGCTGACTTTATTTTGACTTGGGGAAACTATTCGAGAACCAGCTGCCTGATTGACAATGCTAAGAGGGATGAGTGAGAAGAGAAAAATGTTGAGGCCAAGGGATTCTCTGAGTCCCGGCACACAGTAAGGAAGTCCCATACCTGCCCTCACTTTGAGGGTGAATTTCTTCGACAGCACTGTCTTGCCCTCCCGTTCAGCAGAGCAGTAGAGGCACAGCCGATGGTACTCGCGTTTCACATTTCTGATGGTGATGCCAGCCTTGGGGTCAGTGACAAAAGCCAGGCCTTTTGGAAGGGGTTTCCCCTCGCACCCGATGAGGGAGTAGTCCTTCACACTGGGGTCTGTCAGAGGACAGCGGACCAAGGTATCCTTGTCTTCTTTCCCATACAAGGGCTTATCCTCAGTGAGGAAAAGCCTGTCAGGGTCTATAATAAGCATATTAAAAATTAGTAGTTTGACGGGCTGATCACAGACACTGGAAAGATATCTTTTTTTAAAGATGTATTTATTTATACATACAGAAGTGGGGTACAGGGCTGAGGTGCAGGGACAGTGAGAGGATTCACCAGAGACGGAGCAGAACAGGCAGATCGATGGAGTGCACTGCTGAGGGGAGCAGCAAGGGAGACAGGAGAGGTCTGCCATGCCATGTGGGTCAGTTCCAGGCACAGGGATTGAACTCGCACTGAAGCCTTGTGGCCTGCTTGCAGTGCTGTGTCCTAACCCACTGTGCCACCAGAGAGGGCCCTGGAAAGATTTTTTTAAACAACTGAAAATGTTCCCTTTCATAACAATAAGCCCTAGTGGCCCAAAAGGCTGGTGTCTGTCCTCTTTGCAAGCCAAAGCAGAATTATAGAAATAAACATTTCAGAGTTAATATTCCACTTTCCAGGTGTCAGGTCTTAAGCTTGGACTATTTACACACTTTATCTCACTTGATCCTCAAAGCCCCCTTAGGGGATGGACACTATCTCAACCAACATATTATAGATTTTGAAACTGAAGTTTAAAAAAAAAAAAAAATGACTCTCCTGAGTAACCCAGTCTGGAGCAGAACTCAGACCCAGGTCTGATGGATGCCATGATTTGGACTTCTTAAAACTCTGAGACTATTTTATTGCAATAGTTACTCTCCTTCTACAGCATCGGCACTGAATCAGCCAGTCTGATGATCCCAACTAAGGTTAGGGACAGTTTTCCTGGGCCCCTTGTGTGGGTCCCCTTTTCAGAGGCCCCAGTCTGTAGCATCTTTCAGCTTCAGAATACAATCTGGAAAACCCTCAGCAGGGCTACCCAGGACAGTAACAGGTGGGTGTCACTCTATCCACAGTCCTTGAAAGATAGGTATAGCTATAAAGTCTGGCAATCAAAACCACTTCAAATAGACGAAGGAGGCTTATGAATGTCAGAAATGTTGTGGCAAATGCTTTATTGCCCAAACATGGATCCCTGTGAGTATAATTTTGTCAGGATACCAGGCATGGCCCAGGAGAGACTCGGGTGGGCTGGGACTTCATATAAGCAAAGACAGAAGTTCAGCTAGTACAAACAATATGCTACCCCCCTCTACTGTGTACAGATAATAAAGATAAATGGCTGGGCCAGTGGGTTATATTAAAAACTGTTTAATTGTCGCCTGCATCTGGAAATCAGGTGTCCTACAAAAATGAATTTAACGTCATTAAAATATCCTTCTCATTTAGTTAGAACAATTTTGAAAGTTTCCCCAAATGCATTATACCTCCCAACCTTCCAAGCTTATTTTGCATTTGCTGACTGACCTGCTGACTGAACTAAGGTTTGGGGTCATCATTGGTTATTTTTTCATCTATTCTTTCTCAGTCATTTGAGTCTATTGAGCTCTTCTAATGCCTCTATTCCCTTAATTGCTGTAACATAGATTACTGAGGTATCCAAACATTTTAACTCAGTAATAATGAAAGAGTATTCTAAGTTGCTGACAACGACATGCCTTATATAAAGAAAATTCATGAGCTCAGTGAGACCGATTTGGCTAATCAGCAGTTTTCCCTACTTTTCCAGTTGTCTACCCATCCTATTAAATAAGCAGAATGATGCTTCATTATCACCTGGAAATTACGGAGCACTCTTGAATGTCAAAGAACAATGTGCAGGTTGGCTCTACAATCACGGAACCATCCCTAGAGGCTAACTGTGGCGTATCAATGCACACTGCATTTTGCTACCCACCTCAGAAAGGATACCCGCTAGACTAAGAAGTATTGCATGGCAAGCTTCTTTAGCATGAACACAAATCAACTTTATTCATTCTTGACAGAGCTAGAATTTGTAGTTTGGGCTCCTTAACAACAATTATAAAAGAGCTGGCGGTCTTATTCAAAAGTGAGACTCTTGAAACTGGTCAGATGAATATGTTCATTTGTTCATTTTTCTTTCAGCACATGAATGAGGCTTCCTCCTTGGGCCTCTTTCGATACCCCCTTGTCCAGACACTCACCTGGGACTATTTCTCTCCTCCTATAACTTGATTATGTCACTTAAGCTATAAGTACTTCAGTTTTCACATTAATGAAAAGATACTCCTTCCCAACCCCTGCCTCCAGCAGACCTCCTTTTGACAAGTACAGTATCTGCACAAACACAGACGAATCTCTGAGTTCATCATAGGAAACGAAGTACAGAACCCTGCCTGTCATTTTTTTCTTTTGCTTCTAAGCTGCCACATTTTCTTTTTTAAATCAACTGACATCTATTAAAACCTAGGAAGAACACGGGGTGTTCAGATGACTGAGTTATTTTTCTGGAATTTACTCCTTGAAAGTGGATCAATTCTTTTGAAGTGTTGGTCTGCTGAGGCCTTTAGAGGCCTTTAGTTCCCTGAAGTGTTTTTACTAAATGGGAGTATCTGGGATCTCCAGGCATTAAAACACAGCTTTCCCAAAGGGCCTAATTTATTCTCAGGGTTTACTCAGGGCACCGGGACAAATGGGCTAACCATACTGTAATTTGATTAGGAAGAGGATCACAGCCTCACAGACCTTCAGACCTTGGAGCCATACCCCAAACCACAATGCATCAAAGATAAGGGGAAACCAACAACTAAAAGAAATGTAGACTAATATCAAACTAATAAAAGTTTATCTATGGCTCATTCATCTTTACTTTACCCATAATTAAAAGCAAAATACCAAGTTCTCTATAGGACAATAAGAAAGAAAAGTCAAGCATTTACCTCTAACAAATACATAAATGGAACTGCTTAAGCCTCCTTTGTTGGTGCATGTATAATTGCCTGTATTGGTGGCTTCTGCCTTCTGCACGGTCCAGTCACTCTCTGTCTTCTCACTTAAATGACCCAGGGACTCAAAGGTCCATCTGAAAAACTCAGGATTGCTGCATTGCAGTCTAATCTCATCGCCAACACTGACTATTAGCTCTGATTGTGCTGGCTGGATGGATGGAGGAGACGGTTCCTCTGGACTCACAGATGGTTCAGAAGAGCCTGCCAAGAAAAATGAGAATTGTGTTGAGTATGATTTTTTTTCCCCCTTGGCAAAATAAAGCATTTCTTCCAATATTGATTTCCATCTTCTGTGTATGCTACAATAAAAATAGGACAAAGCTGCCCAGCTATTTATGGTTAGAAAGAGAGTTCTGTGTAAAGTTCCCCAAGTTCATCTTGAAATTAAGTTATTTTCTGCAACCCTCAATTAATCCTGAAGGTCACACTTGGTGTGCAAGCCAGCATATGCTGACTGCCATAGGCTTCTCGAGGTTAAACATACAATTGGGTCAAATTTCTTTACTGAATGAGCCTATGCAATGACATTGACAAGCTGACACTTCCCTTAGAATCAATAGAAACAAAACCTCACAGTAGACAAAGAAACTACTGGTCGACGACTGTTTAGGCAACATTTACAAGACCATGACACAGATTGGCTTTTTCTGAAAGCTCTGTGAATTCAGATATCTCTCTGAAATTCTACTTGCAAGACAACATTCACCAAAGGGCCATTTACAAAATTCAAGCAAGGCAGAAAAAGACACTCCCATTTTAAAGCTCAGACTACAAGATATTTCATGTCATATGTTGCAACTTAATCAACATAATGCCTAGTTAGGTTTCCTAGACAGGAAACTAGTTTAAATATGCAAACTCTAGGCTCTGAATATGAAACATGAAGCTTAGGAAATTCACAACTGCCAATTCATTCACTCACACATTCATCCGTTGCATGAATGCAAGTATCTGTTCAGTAATTATTATCTGTAAAAGAATTGTGCTAGGTGCTGGGGCAAAGTTTAAATAAGTATGACATGTGTTCTTTACACACACTCCAGAGCTTAAAGAACATCCTGCTCAAGTGGCAGAATAAGTAAAACACAGCCCTGAGATTTAGCTTTACAGAGATAAAAAAAGAACCCTGGCAATATCAGATAAGGCTAAAGAGAAGACAGACATGTATCATAAGAGATCGTGTAGAGACACTCAAAGTGTCAGTAGAAAAAAATGACATGCAAGGCAAGAGACCAGAATCAAGGAAATTTGTGAAAAGTTGTGGTCTCAGCAGGCAGAGGCAATAAGAATCTACAGTTGGGGTTTGAGACTATTGAAGAAGATGCAATATATCATTAGAGGAAAAATACATTAATAGTCATAGGTTATATAGTGCAATGAAAAAAAAAAAGGATTGGGGGTGACTCATACATGATGACCTGAGTAAGGGATACAGAAGTCAAGGACCTTGGGGAGGGGGCTGGGGGCAATAGTACAACAGAATTCCCTAGAAGGATTTCAACAACCATTTTGGTAGGATCATGGAGCAAACGCAGATGACACCCCTGCATGAAGACTGTGCCTGCTCCACACACACATGGAGATGAAGGTATAAAGGAGGAGTTACCACATCCAAACCAGGTGAAGAAAGGGACTAATGACAGCAAGGAGCAGCAGAACCCAGAGCAGCAGGAGTAAATGATGCCAGGAAAGTTCCAGATGGAGAGTGGACACATGATCAGAAAGGGACTGCTTCCAAGTGCACTGTTTACCTCAAGTCCATGAGGGCATCAGAGAGAGAGAGAATGCTGTTCACCTCTCTGAAAGTTGACTGATTTGACTGAAATGGTAGAAATGGAAGCCAAGGGTCAGGGACTACATGGTCAGCATTATCCAATGAGAGGTGTACGCTGTGGCCTTTAACCTTGGAGCACACAGAAATTACTCTGGAATTAAATTATACTCTCAGATTTTCCAGGACCTCTTCTTAACCAAATCTGGGGACTTACATTCATCCCCTTGGCTCTCACTCAGGATCTGCTCTAGGACCTACCCACCTTCTCTCTGAAACCTTCCATGGGTTGCCTCTTTAAGTCTCTCCCCTTCCTTTCTGGTATTTTTGTTAAAAATCTTTTCTACATGCTCTTGATGGGAAGCCTCCTCCAAGATGATCGCTTTTGTCCACAAACCTTTGCCTTGATTACTGGATCCCATGTTATTACTTCACACACATACACAAATTATCTTGCAATATATTTAATCAGTTCAATTTTCTCATGAGTGGATTTGAAGGGTAGGTAGACATTACAATATGGTTAATAAATAATAAATAATGCCCGCCTCTGGATATCTAGCATGCTAAAGTAAGCATACCCTACTGGTGTAACCTAAGACAGCACACTCATCTGAAAGTTTCCTCATCTGGAAATGAAGATAAAAATATCCTCCTGTTAAGAGTTCTTGTGAGAATCAAATGAGTAAGTTTAAACATAGGACTGGGTGGCTTTCAGTAAATGCTACTGTAACAGGGTGGCCCCCAGGAAAAGGGGAAGTTCCAGGTTCCCTGCCCCACCCAGAAGGAACTTGGGACCTCCCCTTTTCCTGGGGACCATCCTGTTACAATATTAGAGTGAAGGAACAGTGTATGTGAGGTGAGAACTGACTCTGAAACTGAGACTGTCAACAAGCACCTCATGGCTTTGCCTCTCACTAGGGTTGTGATCTTAGGGAAGTTACTCATCAGTTCTGCTTCAGGCTCCTCATCTCTAAAGTAGGGATAATAATGGCACCTGTCCCCTAAGGCTGTTATGTAAAGCTCGCACAACCTGCTAGGTACATGCAAAACGCATTATACATGTTAGACACAATTCAAAACAACTTCGTCTTACCTCCAACCAGTTTCTTTTTGTCATTTCCTATGGATGTGAAGTGAAGATTCCATCAGTTCCCAAATGGCTTCTTGCTCAACTTCCTTCTTGATAGCAATTCCCTTCCCTCCTTTTGGCCAGTGAGTTTTCCTTCTGAGACCCCAACACCTATCCTGGCAGCCCTTTCTACTCCTCACAAATAGCACTTTACAACCCCACAGAAAGATACCACCCCCCTCTCCTAAGCGATCTCTGTGCCATCAGCCACTCTTCACCCCAACCTCAGCTCACTTTACTTCACAACCGGAGGCCCTATGGTCTAAGATCCCAACATTTTCAATAACCCCACTGCCGGACTACTAACCCCAAACAGAGGCAGCAAGCAGCTAGTGCCGGCATCACGTCCAACTTACAAAGAGCTTTCACGAGATTCCTTTCTGGATATTTCCTTTCTCTCCAAGAAGACAGACCCTGAGGCTGGTTGGCTGAGGATCCTGCACACATTCTTGATTCCTTGCTAACTCCATCATTCTGTGTCCCCAGAAGACACCTTCTCCACCAACTCATCTTCTTGTCCCATGGAAAGCTCCGTCTCTGTGGATGTCATTCAGTCTCTAACCACCCCAGTCACGATCTTCACCCATCTCTCCTACATATCCAGCCCATCACCCAATCGCTTATACTCATGCTTGATGGTGATTGAACCTAGAACTTACCTCTTCTGGCTTCTCTGAGGTCTTAAGAATCCTTCAAAGAAGGTTTCCCTTCAGAACAGTCACAAACATATTCCCTTCAATCTCTGAACATACATACAAGAGATGGAAGAAAACAGGTTCTAAACACCCAACCCCTTTAACGGATATCAACAGTCCACTAATATATGCCCAAAGCAGAGAGAGGTCAATTTCACTGCTCCACTAAGAAAAGAGAGTAGCTTAATTCATCCATTAAAATTGCTCTAGATACCTCAAAAAAAAAAGGAGCGTCCACATTTAAGATCATTAATTTGTGCTTTACTTTTAGAGTCTTAAAACATAATTTAAAAAATAATTACCACCAGATGTATTCTGGGTTTTAGTTTTAAAATAAATTATTTATATGTTCAACTCCCAAACTCACACTGTAAGGTGAAAATAGAGCTTATATTAGAGTGGGATTGTGGGTAATGTTTGTTCTTTTTTCCTAAACTATCTTGAATGTTGTTGTGCTGTTCTCACAATAAAAAAAAAACTTAGAGATTCATGTTAAAAGGTGTAGATGTGTGTGTGTGTGTGTGTGTGTGTGTAATTCAATACCAATAAAGTATCTCAAGTGAGCTTTGAAATTGCTCGGAAATTACACATTCTGAAATGTGTTTCCGACATAGCAAATTTTCAACAAATGTTTGTTGAATTGGATTTTAGCTACATCAGGGCTTTTGCTTTAGCAAATGAACTTCTGTAATAACGTTTGGCTAAGGCTAGTATTAAAAGGTATTATATGTTCACTGAACACATATTAATTAATGAGCCAAAAAAAAAAAAAGATAGCAAATTCTACCACTCTGGGGACCAACTACTATAGTGAAAGATGGCTTGGCGATACAAAGCCTAGGAATCATCAGCAAATATTCATCCCAGGTAACTTGCTAAGTGTTGAACCAAAAAGGAGGTCCCTTGTTCTCATAAAAGATAAATAAGTGAGACAAGGGACTTGATGAGGAGTTAAGAACACAAGATTTTAATACCCTACATAACCTCTTTCACCAGCATAAAATTCAACTATACCTAAAAGTCAAAGCTACGGCTCAGTAGATACTTGTATGCCCACATTCTTAGCAGCATCATTCACAGTAACCAAAAGGTGGAAACAAGCCGAGTGCCCATCCGCAGATAAATGAACAAACGAAAGGCGGTATACAGTGAGTGGTGCCCTTTACTGACACCGATATGATCGTGGCAGTGCAGGTCAGACTAGGTAAGCTTGCGCAATTACACCCCAGGACAGTCACACCATGATTGCTTCTCTGAATCCAGCCCTGCTGTTAAGCAATGCATGACTTTGTAAACATACATCTTAGTCATAAAAAGAAATTAAATTCTACCTATACTACCAACATGGACAAGACTTGAAAACATGACATGAAGTGAAATAAGCCAAACACAAAGGAATAAATACAGTATGA